GTACTTTTGGGTGTGACTAAATCATAAGTTTACCACAATAGGTGCCCCATTTCTTCCTCCTGTTCACCAATGCTTCTCTCCATGGCTGGATGACTTGTAGAATGTCATCTTTCAGCTCTGTTGTCTCCTAAGGAATCCACATCTTGCATCAATTTGTTGGAATTCTGGCAGTTCAGCATTTGTGTCTGTAATTTCTGCCTTTGTTACAACATTGTTGTGATTAGGTGCACACAGACAATTCCACCGTAGTGGTGTATATCAGCAAGCAGGGTGAAGCTTGTTCTCACAATCTTTGTTTTGCTGCAATCTCTCTCCTTCTGTGGCTACATTTGAATTATGTTATTCTTTGAGCTTTTCATGTGCCCAGGGTTATGAACATTCTAGCAAATTCTTTTTTCATGGGTACATAGGCTTCTCCCAGCAGAGTGAACCCTTCACCCTTTGGTATTTACTGGTTATGCCTTTGGTTCAATCAACCCAGGATTAATAAATTTACAATATCAGTCACTCACCTTCTGCTTGTTCCAAATCTCACTGACATAGCAGAGGACACCTTGAACTAATCTTAGGATAATTTTTATTTGTAATTTTTACCCTCCTCTTCATATTCTCCCTCAGATGTTGGCCAAGATGAACAGATCTCGTTGTTGGGTTCTTCTGATTGTTCTACACTGGCCTGCTCAACTTAGTCATCTGTCTCAGATGTATTCTTTTCTGTTACCACTTGTATTCTCTGCCAGCCTAAAATATCCATCTTTCACAATGATTTTTGTCATCTGTGGCTTCATGGTTGTCTGTTATGCAGTCCTTTGTGTGAGATGCCAGATTTGCTTGAGTAGCCTGTATGTTATCAAATTTTTCTTAATGTTCCTTCCTAATAGATAACAAATATCATTGGTCTATATTTCATGGTTGGTGCTTGTATAATTAAATATATTTTCTTTTTTCAACCACTCCAAAGTTGCCTCTTTTCTCGTATATTTATTTCATGACCAAAGCTTGTAAACTTCTTCAGTTGCTGACTGTCATTTTTTATTGCCATGAAAGTCATAGGCCTCTTGCATCCTTAGTTTTTTCTAGATCTCTTTCAAGCTTTTCATCTAGGTCACCCAAGAGTACCTCAACATTATCCTCTAGTCTTAGGCCATCTGGTATTATTTCCTTTTGAATCCTTGGTGATGTGTTTGTTATACCATCTATCCCTGAAGACATATTTTCCTTTGTTACTTGCTTTGGGGATATGAAGGTCTGACATGGCACTTGATGTTTCTCATACTTTTTTTTTGTCTCAGTGGGCATTGTTTGTATATCCCATTTGGTCTTTCTTACATAAGACTTAGGTGGTGAGAGGGAGTTTACAGCTATTTTTCTCCTGTTTTGTTACCTACTCTAACTGACTCTGATTTACTTTCCACTGAACATTCTCTCTTTGTCCTGTCAGGCAGGTTTGCTACTACCTTGCACAATTAGGTGCACAAACCCCTTACTTCAAGGGTTTTTTTCATAGATTATTTAATCCTTACATTTGATATTGCTCAAAGGATGCTCCATTCACATTAATGAATTGGCTTGTGCAGTTGATCTGTGTTATATATTTTGATGTTCCCAAAAATCTTAGGCATGAAATTTGGCTTACATCTCATCATGTTTGCCATTTTATGTTGTCTTAGTCATCCCAATCTCACTATCTTATAGAGAACATCTAGCAGGCCATTTAGTGGACAAATTCCATTACCTTTTGCAATTTTACATTCATGATATTGGTGTCTCTTCAGCTTTGGGATTCTATTTGCCATCTGTGGCTGCTCTCCAGGCTTGATGGAGTCCATAACTGGTGAGTTTTTGTGTTTTTGTCTCTTATGCCCAACACCTCTTGTTCACTGTTTTGAAAATGGATTGTTTGTACTTGTTTCAATTTAATCTTAATTATTGCATTTAAGTGAATCCTTCATGATTTTAGCATGTTCCTTATTAATCACTTCATTTGTCCTAGACAACCTTAGTTGGGATCTCACACGTCAAATATATCTCTGTGCTAGTCCTAAATGCACACACATACTCCACTCTCTTTGCTTGGTTGTTGCCCTTTGGAAGTGGACTAAGGCTGATAATGCCTGAGAAAATACCTCCATTGGAGGTTTCACTCAATTTTTTTGCTCCATCCAGGATGTGGTTTATTCATGTTTTTCATTTCTTGCCTTAATGTTCCTATTCACTGTCCTTGCGTTGTTGAACCCATCCTTGGAGCCTACTTGGGCCTTTTTCAGTTCTCTTTGGGTACCCATAAATTTGGCTGGATTGTGACTTGCTGGTTATTTTGGATAGGATTAAGAGAAGCTACTGCCTCTGGAATATCTCCTTTCATAATATGTATGGGCTGCTCCTCTAGAACCTTCCACTGCAGGAATAAGATAAAGTATTCTTCCTGCCTGTTTATGCCACCACCTGTATATCATTATTGGCTCTACCAGTGATATACACTATTACCATTCACAAAATTCCCCCTGTGCTAAAATAAATAAGGGCAAAAAGGGTACCCTTGCTTTCTGAGTGTCTTTTAAGTCCAGTCTTGTTTTGTATAAAACTGGTCCACTCCATTCATTCTTCCAGGACTCCAGTTCTAAAAATTTTTAATTCTGGATTTGTAATGAAATCTACTCCAACTCTGCTTGGCTACAATTTTTGTTGTTGTTTAGATAGCTTATCTTGTACTTCATTAGTTCCTACCTCCTTTACAATGTGAGTATTTTGGATGATTTTAATTTTATAGTTTTAGAACTAAAATGAATTTCAAATATGGTACTTATCTCTGAAATACTGCAATCTTCATTAAGATTGCAACTTTCAAAGAAGTCTCCTTTATGGTGGGAAAGCAGAGCTTATGTAAGATCCGCTGATGCTTGTGTAATACGTCATGTGGTAGGTGGGAGAGTGGATTATTATGGGTAAGTAATGTATATATGGTAAGATCCACTGATGCATGTGCATTACATCATTTGGTAGGTGGGAGAGTGGATTATTATGGGTAAGTAATGTATATATGGTAAGATCCACTGATGTATGTGCAATACATCATGTGGTAGGTGGGAGAGTGGATTATTATGGGTAAGTAATGTATATATGGTAAGATCCACTGATGCATGTGCATTACATCATTTGGTAGGTGGGAGAGTGGATTATTATGGGTAAGTAATGTATATATGGTATACAAATACATACTGGCATCCTAAAATTTTGCATCACATTTTGTTGACAACATGAGTTCAAACTCAACAAGGAAAGATTTTCAGCATTTCAGAAGTATGTACCTGTTTGAAATTCATTTTAATTCTAAAAATGTAGAATTTTATATATTTGTATGTAACACCTTTCCAATTTTCATAGCGTACATTGCACATGTAACTTTATTTAAGTAGGCATTACAAAATGCTACTTAAACTGGTTTTTGCATGATACATTAACAATTTTTACAAGAGAAATTAATTTTAGACTCTTTAAAAATTAATATATTAATGCCATGTGATTTTACATGTCCAAGCAATGTTTAGAACAGAAAATGATAGGAAATAGAATATGTTTTAGAAACTACTAAAATGTAGGTAATATCAATGTATAGTTTCAATAAATTACATTCATATAACTTATATGTATGCCAGTAGCACAGTTATTATGGATTTAATGTATTTTTGTGGACTAGCCATAAAGCTATGTTTAGAGTCAAAATAAACAACTATGTCAGTTAATACTTACTGTGATTGATACTACATTCTCTAATATTGGCACGTTGTTGTTTGATTTCTTAAACATGTACATGTTTATTTTTTATTAAGTGATTTTCTGTTACATATATTTAAACTGTATTGTGTTTTTTCCTAGTTGTATTAAATGTTTTGTCACAAATTATATATGTACTTTTCATTTTCTATACAATAGCTTGTGCCAAAATTTTGATTATATCTTAATGGCCCCAACATTCATTTTAATTTAAACCAACTTGATATATGTTGTCATGGGGATAGAAATAATATAAAAATTATAAGATTTATTCAATAAAAACATTCTAGTTATTTATTGGTTTGGAGTTTATCAGAAATTTATTTTGGTTTATGATTGGTCACTGCAAAGCAATTGTGGGTCTACAGTTTTTTGGATATGTTTTTTTCATAAACTATATTTCCAGTTGTAGTAAAAAAAATACTCATTACATAAATTTAGGGGAAAATTATTAGTATCAAAAATTTAACTGTTTAGTTAATATTCAGTTCAAACAGTAATTACACAGTTATTTTCCCACAACAGCAAGTGTTTAGCAAAAATATTCTACAATGTTAATAAATGTGCTACTCAAATAGTGGTTAGAGTGAGATATTTACTCGTATTGTTTCGTACTTCAATTTGTAAATTTACTGCCGAAAGTTGAACAAAATCTGAGTAATAAATTTAGCTAGGAAGTTAAATTGTATCAAATTTGTTTTTCCTATAGACATGGTGACCGTATGTTCTGGTTTGATTGGGACAGTTCTGGTTTGGACCTCTCTGTCCCATTGTCTCAAAGAGATCTTTTGGGATGTAACAGATGTCTCAGTTTGGTAACTTCTTATTTGCCTAAAATTTCAAGTTTTTAAAGAAAAGTAGTAATTACTTTTTGGCTATTATTGTAGTAATTAGAGGAAAAAAATAGAAAGTGTAACCAACATTAATGTAAAGTGTGATTTTAAATTGTTGTGAATAATATAAATAACATCCTGCTGGCCTGTTGCAGTGACATTCAGTCACGTGATAGGTGAGGGTTGTGATGTTCTCAGACTTTTTCACCATTTATGTTGAATATAGGCTATTAGACCTAGACTGAGATGGAATGTTGTGACAATTATAGGTGTACTGGTTTGATCACCTGACATTTATGGTCACTATGCTAATGGAAAAGTACAATGTATTTATATAAACAAAATCAACTTATAAACGGTGAACTTTATATGCAACTAATTCTGTTCACATAGTGATGCGAAAAAAGTGGCAGAAGATTCAGAACAACTCAGGAACAGAGAGTTGTACTGAGATGGAACATTCATACTGGAAAGAATATTGGAAGCAATTTGGTAATCAGCTCTTGTTATATTTGACCAATGCCCAGCCACATGAGATGGAAATACCAGATAGAATTGATATATGGATTTTCCCAAAGAACCTAGTCTTTCCCCTGATACAAGACTTAAAAGAGACAAAAGAAGAAAAAGGTTAGTTTTGTGAATACTGTTAAAACGTATTTTCAGTATCTGCATTATTGTTGTTGTTCTAAGATCCAATGTGCACCTGTCAAATGGACAACTTCTTGAAACTTTGTTGCACTTTTGCTACTAAAAGGAAAACAATTCTTTTACAGTAACTGACTGTTTGTAAGTTTTATACATATGCTCTTCTTGTCTGTATGTGGTATGTATTGTGGCAATAGGAAATGCCATTATTTTACCCTTCCCTAATTAGAATATGAATATGTAACATGCAGGCGTATCATGTGTTTGTTGGTGTGGGGGCTATAGAACCTGTCTCCCATCCCACTGTAGGCTTTTATTTCCTTTTCTTTGTTACCCTTAAGGTAGCACTGCCCCTTAAAACTGGGCAAATTTACATGCGGAGGAAACACTGTTAAACACTTCTTATAACCTTCAAGTTGAACTCAAAACAAAAATATGATGTCACAATCTCTGAAAGTACACTATCAGCCATATATGTTATATGCATAATTAATGCAGTAGGGATATACATAACATAAACTGTTTTAACACCATAACTTTACTTAGAAATGATAAAAATGTGAAAATTGATACACATGCTCTTTGTTCATAGCTTGAATTAAAAACTTTGCATATTATCTGCAATGTGAACAAGCTATGGGCAATTAATTTTAATTAATGCCTTTGTTAGTGTTAATTAGACTCATAACAAGACAATTGGTAAAGATTTTTGTATTTTAACAGTGTAATATCAATAATGGAAGAATGTAATACCAGGAAGTGTGCTAAATTTCATTCTGATATTGGTTTTAATGGTGAAGTTATCATGCTAATTAATGTTTTGGATACCTTCCTTCACATTTACATTTGCTCTATGGTCCATCATTTCCTCTGATTTGTCCACAATGGATACATCTGTTAGTTCCATTTCCTTCCTTTTGGGCTGGCCATGGACCCATATTTTTTCAGCTGGATTATATGTTCTTTTGCTTAGTGTATGTGTCTTCTGGGTTTTCATTTTCATTATTATATGGATGACTAGCTTCTTCTAGTTCTGTTTGGTTAGGATTTGTCAATTGCTATCTCCACTCTTCTTTGAGAGGCCTTAGTGCCTGAGCTGGCTGGTCAAGCTTTTCAAGTCTGTTTTGATTCTCACTCAGTATATTGTCCACCTCGCAGCTTTCTTTAACTCCTATGTAGAATAGGTTCAACCCTCTCCCTTGCATCTTTGTGCCATGCGACTTATCTCCAAGCTTTTTTTTTCTCTTTTTTTCTTACTCAGAAGGTTCTCTCACTTATGGGGACTCTTGCTTCCCTGGAAGCCCTGATCCCTCTCAGTTGTACACATGCCCCATTCAGTGGGCTTCGAAGGATCAATTGAACATGCCCTACAAATCCTTCTTGACTATTGTGTTTCTACCTTCCTCTTTATCATGGTGGCTCCATTGCTTAAACATGACTCCAGGGGTGTACTGCTACATCTTTACACAGATACTTCCCTTTTTGTTGGGGGCAGTTTTCAACAACACTACTCACTTCAGAGACTAGTCTCCAGAAGAGCATTCTCTGCATATTAGTATCCTAGAGGTGATTGCTGGTTATCGGGCTTGCCAACTTCTTTGGGATGCAGTTGTCTGATTATCTTGTGATGATCGATCTGGACAACTCTATAATCCATTCTTACATCAACTACTAGGGAGGCAGACTTGCTCTTGGGATCTGGGCTTTCTTATTCTGAACTTCCTTTTATTGAACATACAATTGTTGTATTCATCTCTCAGCATGTTTTGAATCTGATGGTGGATCTCTTGTCTGGACAGGGCCCATCTCATGGAGAGGTCTTTGCATTTTTTGGGTTTCCATTGGATTTGCTCTCATTTCCAGGATCCCTTAAATCAATGCTCTGCACCTTGTTTCTATTCCAAACTTCCTTTCTTTTGATCACTTATCCCAGACTTAACCACTTTATCTGTTGATGCTCTGAGCCATAATTGGTCCAGTCTTTTTCTTTGTGCCTACCCTTCTCTTCACCTTTTTTTTCCCCTGATACTCTCTATCATTTGATATACCCCTTGCTATGTTCCTCTGATTACTTCTCTGTGGCCTGCTCAGTCATGGATTCCACTTCTGCTTTGTATGTCAACTGAGGAACTTCTTTCATTCCCTCTTTGGAGATCCTTTCTCCATCAACCTTGGTTGTCCATTTTCCACAATAGGGTATTGTGGTGTTATCTTGATGTGCGTAACTTGTCTGGTCACTTGTGAGACTTATGGGATTTTCCCACAGACTAGCCTGTTTTCTCTCTCATTTTTATAGGCTTTCTACTCTTTCTCCTTATCAACATGAATAGGCTGTCAAATACTGCTGCTCTTTTTGGCTGGGTCATCCTACTCTCTCATATCTCACTTTGTTCTTTACCTTTTCTTTCAACAAGAATCTGTCTGTCTCAGTTATTGCAGGTTACCAGGTGGCATGGCCCACAACTTTCCATCTCTTACTTTCCTTTCACCTGTTATCATGGACCTCTTTAAGGCCTTCTTTCTATATTGCCCTCTTTGTCTGGTCCCCCTTTCCAGCTGAGACCTTTGTGTGGTTCTTCAGGCTTTTACATGCTCTTCCTTGATCCTCTGGCTTTCTGCTCCTTGTATCATTTGTCTCTCAAGACATGCTTTCTTTTTTTCCTTGTTTGTGGTCACCATCGCTCAGACATTCACACCTTGGATGCCTTCCATATTCTTTATCATAGGCACCCGTTGTTGTTGTTTCCAGATAGCTCCTTTCTTCCGAAGGCTTGAGCTACCAGAGAAAGCAATTTAGATGTTTCTCTTATCTCATATCCCCATCTATTTTCTCATTGTACAGTCATTCTGATCCTGATTGTCTTTTGTATCCCATACAAGCTGTCCATTGCAATTTTTATCAGACTGACTCTTTTCATGGAAACTGCGATCACCTATTGTTACAGTAGCAGACCTCCTCGTGGGACTTGTTCCCTTTAACTGGTTGGGTTCATCACTCATCCACCATGTATATTTTTCCATGTGTGAACCTGACTGTACACCTTTTTGTATCACCTAACACCAATTTTGGCATATCACAGCCCTCTTGCATCTTTTTTTGTTGCTAGCCTTTGAAGGAGATCTTACACCAAACCCATCTCCTATTACTTACAACATTGAGCAGTTTTATGTGCCTCTGATTTTGGCCTCCCTCCTGTTACTGTTCTTCAGTCTACCCAGCGATTCTAATGTGGTGAGTTTTGTCTGTTGTACTTTTCAGTCATCTTCATGCATTTCAAAGGACCTCCATGTGTGTAGCATTGTTTTTATACACATTCCAATGCATTGCAAGTTCCTCAACAAAACAAAAAAATAAGAATAACAACAAAATGGGAGGAGGCAAGACTCACCAAATTATATATTACATGAGGTACTACATCCTACAATCCTTATGCTTAGTGCCATCGGAACCCACCAAGTGGTTGATGTTACCTCACAGGGAATACTTACATGAAATCTGCATCAAACGGGGGAGAACAGAAAGTGTTAAACCCACCTGCCTCTGGTCAGTGCCCACCATGGAGATGGGATTTCCTGTGAGACTGTTTTGGTAAGATATATCTATAATTAGCATGGCTATTACTACACAGAAAAAATAAACGACAGCACTAGGCATAGTCCTGCCCTTATACCTGGCTTACACTTACTAGTTTTAGTTGTAGTAACCAATTGCACTGTCTCTTGACAAGGGCCCAATTCCAGATGATTGTGGAGCACAGGAGAACCCTTATTTCCCCAGTCCCAAGCCTTTGGGGATGTTGATATGGAAATCTTCCTTTGTTAATAGTGCCTTCCTCCCTGTAACAGACCAGTTGGCCCCACCTCTTGTGTGAGATGAAAGGCTAGGGTGTCACCTGGAAGTGTAGTACAGAACACACCCTTACAATACCACCCAAGGTATTCCAAGTGGTTATTTCCAGGTGGATGGGACTTGGATTTGCTTCAGGATGCAGGTGAGAGCTCCTCCTCCCTCCACCTGTTATTACAGTATATATCTCATGTATTTCACTGAGAAAGAATATCCTAAAGCCCTAGCCACACTACACATTCTCACATTCTGCCTACTTTTGCAACACATTATGACTGACACTAAATTTACCTGATACTCTTTTTCTGTACATCTCTTTGTAATTTATATTAAATATATGACTGAATTATTGATAACAAGTTGGGCAGAGAGTATTCCCTGCATGAGAAGAATGAAATCTCACACTGAGTGCTGCTCCATTTGGCATATCATGGAAGTCATACCCCATGTACTTTCTTTTTCTTTTTCATTCTGTTTGTAATTGGTCTGCACCAGCCCCTCCACTATTTTCAGTGTGAGGTTCTTGCTCATAGTGGTGCAGAGAGACAGACAAGGTTTCTGAAGTTAACATTTTTCTTACCTAAAAATATATTTCAGGTAGATACTTAACTTTATGCACCATCTTCCCATTATTCCTACCCACTTTCAGTTGTATGATGCTCATTTCAAATGTTCTGTGTTTGCTAACCCTTTGTGATATCAAACTTTCAGTTCCATCAAAGTTTAAAACCACCCAGAGGAAGGACACCCTGGCACAAAACATTGTGAATATTAAAACATCTATTTATGATTTACTTTTCTTTTGTGGTATATGTTTTTCCCTTTTTTTGTTAAAGTATTATAAAATGTAAAAATAAAGTAAAACTATTTTTGATGCTTGATAAGTTTTACAAAGTGGTTTAGTTTCTGTTACAATGGCTGTTTCCTTTTTTTCTTTCAGTTTGAAATTTTGTGTCAGTCATAAATATGGTAGAAATATATATTCCAACCATTGTTTTGTACTAGAATTAGAACCACTCTAAGAAAATATGAAATAATTAGAAATTTTGGGCAAATTATCAGCTTTGATGGAAAGTGAAGAAAAGTTTGCACCTATCCATTTATCAAATTGTTTTATTACTCATGATGCTAGAAATAGTGGGAAATATAAATAATTAATCTTTCTAATTTTGGTTTTCCAAGGGTGGCTTGTTACACTTAGTCTTTGAATATGTTTCACACTTGCAGTGTTAAGATTAATGTCTGTGCTGTGTGAGAAACATTAGAAAAGGTCTCAGATGATTTGTCTGTCCTCAAACATACTGAGATATAAGAGATTAATTAAGTTTTGTTTTTCTTTCTTCAGCTTAAACAGCAATGAACAGTATTTTTTATTGTTTAAAATATCACTTTTTTCATTGTTCAAATCTGAGCATTTTATTGAATAGTATACAGGTATGGTTGATTTACTTTTAATTGAAAAGAACGTAGATCATGCATGCTATTTGGATACTGGTCTTTCTTTTGTGTACAAGTACTAAAACTCCATTGATATACATTTTTTACCTGGATACTAAGGTAGCAATGATACTATGAATGCTATGTCAGGATCTTTTTATTCTCAACATTTCGACTACAAGTCTTTCTCAGAAGATAACTTGTAGCATTGAGAATAAAAAAATCCTGACATTGCATTCATAGTCTCATTGCTAACTTAGTATCCATTTGTCAACATGAATTTTACTCATTTTTTACCATTTTACTATTAGAATATTTGTGTGTTTTGCTTGTTTTTTGTTAAACTCGAAGCTATACAATAAGCTGTTTGTGCTATACCCATCTTTATTACAATATACCTCTTATCATCATTAATAGGTTAAAATGCACATGACTGAAGATCTGTTGTTGTACTTGTAGTCTATGATTCAAGTTTTCACTGACCATGATAATTTTATGTGGCAAAACATTTTTGAAAGTTACTACTTTTACTCCCAAACTGTAAGTTTTTAATTAAAGAAGCTTTAGATTCAGAAATCTTATGAAAAGAGAACATATTTTATTAGCTAATAGTAATAGATTCAATTTCAGTTGTGATATTAAGCTCATCTGGTGATTTAATAGAATAATACAAGTAAATCTATACTTTCCAATACTGTACATTACCTCCACTCACAAAAATAGCTATTCTCATTCAGTGATGCCCTCTGTATGCAAAACTTTTTTTGCATGCCACAAGCTTTGAGCTCCCACATACCCTATGTTCAATGTGGTTCAACTGCATTTCTCATGTAAACCATCATGCGATAACCCTCCACCAATAGGAGTGTAACACACCCTTTTGATGCATGTGACTCCCTCTATTTGATACTACCCAACTATCACTTCTCGTTTGTCACTGCTCTTATTGAGACATTTTTTATTGTGCTTTTCAATCTTTTTTTATTCTTTAAACTTAGTGCTTTTGTTTGCCATTTATTCCAAAGTGGATTTGATCATTCATTGTTAACAATGAATTCTGAAGTCTAAGTTACCATTTTGGTACTTTGGTTTAGGTACTGAAGGTGCTTCATGTCAGATAGGTTTTGGGATATTTTACAATACAAGGACATCTTTATTATTCTGATCATCTGGATGTCGGATTCCCGGAGCAGTCAAACAATTTATCATATTGCTATCATTTGTCTTGTTCACAGATCAGTGGGTATGAGATTTCCCTCCGGTCTGGTGAACTTGAAGTGAAGACTGTATGATCCTCTTTCCTAGCCCCATGTGGATGTTGGTTCCTGGCAGCTGGATTTTGGATGCAGTTGACTTGCCATTTACAGTCCATCACAACATGATGATTTACATGTGAGACACAGTTGAACCATGTTCAACGTGTATGGTACATGGGAGCTCAAGGGTTGTGGCATGCAAAAATATTTTTGCATATAGAGGGCATCACTGAATGAGAATAGCTATTTATGTGAGAGGAGGTAATGTACCTATCAGAAATACATTTTCAGTATAGGAAAATTATAACTTTTCATTGTATTACTAATGTGTTTTTTATAACAGTCTCAATGGAATATGTTTTTCAGAGCTTAATACAGAAACTATCCATGTAGTGAATGATGTTTATTGGGTGCTAGTGTGGGAAACATGCTTGAGCCAGTGGCAGCATCGTAAGTATTGTATGCTTTTGTGTTTATTTAACTGGTAATAAACTGATAATATCCAGATATGTTAGAAAGCAATCATCAGATTTTTATTAGTCACTGTATTAGTGTATTATATACACTGTACTACCTTTATCATGTGGTGCCTTGATAGGAAAAATCCACTTCATCAGCTTGAGTAGAATTTAAAGGTGGTCATGAGGTTCTGAGCATTTCAAGTTCACTCATGCCATTTATACTGTCATTTATTGATACGTTTATCTCCCGTTTCATTTCAAATCAGTTTACTCATTGATATACAAAACTAATGATGGGAAACTAACTTATCAGTCTTTTGTTTTGTTCTGTAATGGAGAAGCAAGATTTGTCAAAGCATGACAGAAACCCTATTCATTATCAGTATTTTTTACAATTTTACTAATAATTTTTCTGATAATGTTCATAAGGCTTTGTGGATTTGGTCCATTACATCTGAAGGAAGATCAGTTTGGAAGATAACTCATGTTTCTCCTTTTTGTGTTGATAATCTTTGTGTGTTACTCAGAATTTCCCTACTAGTAGAGTTTGCAAGTTTCTTCATCAGTAGTGTGGAATGTAGAGTGGCTTTCTTTTTTTTTTTTAAGTCTAAACTTGTTTCTGCAAAATCAGATTTTTCTTTTCTTTTTCAACATTTTTTTACCTCTTTCATATTCCATTGTGAGAACAGTGAAACTTTTCTCTATCGTTTGTTTTATTATGTTTGTTTTTAAGTGACATTACTGGAAAATTTATTTATGAGTAATATGTAGGATTGAAATATACTATCTGATTTCAAAATCTTGTTTAGATGCAGTAAAAATAATATAACGCTTTGTATAATTAATATAAATGTATTATGCATTGCCAACTAAAAAGTGAAAAGCAATACCTATTTACTAAAAACATGCATATAATTATATTGTTTCTAACAATTCAATGATGAGATGTAATAAATGACATAGATGTCAGTAAGTTTTTGAAATTAAATGTTTTATCAGGATGTATTGTTTTAATTTAATATTTGCCATTAGCCAATTTTGCTACTTCATCTTAGTAATTAAATTTTATGTAGATAGTAATGCACATTTTAGATTAATCTTATTGCACCTTTGTCATGTTGTTTGCTCCTTTTATCTTAGGAATCTTCCAATTCTTGGTTGCTTCTCAGCAAAGTAGATTTTCTGCTGTTCCTTTAGAAAGTGAAGGAGTTAGTAGTGACCCTGGAAATATTGTTTTTAGAGCCTTAGAAGAGTTGTTTTTTTATATCAAAGAGATGAAAGTGCAACAACTAGAAAGTTATTCAGGTAAAAGAGTAAGAGCGCATAAATTACTTCTATATATATTACACATGTAATTTTTTTATTATATCTTTTTAAGTATTTGTTACTACTCTCAGCTTTAATAACAAATTACCAATTTTATGATGCAAATTTTTTTCTTATGGTTTAAATTTTTTTTAAATGCTAAATTTTGCTCTTTGCTGTGTTTTCATTTAACGGTAAGGTGTACGTAGTTGTCCTTGTTTCTCAACATTCAATACATAGGACTTGTATGGAAGTATTTACTGACTTAGTTATTTAAAACACTCAGAAATGAATGTAAAAAATTAATGCATTTTTAATATGAAACTTTAATGAGTATGCTTGTATTTAGCATAATGTTATCCCTGCTTAAGAAACCTTGTTTTATTACTTTTATATTTTAGAAAACAGTTTGACATTAAAATTATATAAATAATTGTCAAACAAAAAAAAATTTAAGTTTAGAATAATTTGTTACCACAAACTATATTATTTTTTATCTCTGCTACTACTAGATTATTGTGCTAGTTCAGTTTGACAAGGCTTTTAATCTTCATCATATGGGCTTTTAATCTTATTAAAATGACTGTAAAGAATTTTCAAATTTCACATGCAAAATATTTATAATGTCCAGATAGTTATCAAACATTTCTTAAGAAAAAAACCTATATTTTATCTGTTATTTTCAATAAGAATCTGTACGGGTTCAGTAGATTTGACTGATCTTGTAACCACTATAAAAATTAGGAAATAAATATAAATTATGTCTCTTTCGTTCTAGAATGACATCAAATTATAACAGGAAAACATAAATGTTTAGACTAAATTGCTTAAATCTCATAATATTATACATTTATATGTATTTATTATTTTTATTATATTGACCTTTCAGCCGTGTCTAGCTCACAATACAGAAGTTACAATGATGCAGCACACATGCACTTGTGTTATCATATCCAGTAAGATAAAACTGACCTTTAGTCTTTACAAAGTGACCTGTCTTGGCTGTGTTTTAGTAGACTAGTATTTTGTAAAATACAGTCACATTTCAATTATTATACACTATATATGTCTATAGATTATTGCTATTTTTAAATAAGTTCTTAAACTTATATTTCTTAAAACATAGAACAGTAAATAAAGAAGTAATGCAAACAATTATCTCTTCTAGTTACGACCTTTGTACTCGGTGGCTGCTTGACGTAGGTTGCTAGCCTTTAAAAATTTTGCATGTGTAGGATATGAAACAAAATAATTTCTTTTAGGTTTTTTATATATATATACACATTTGAATAACTAAGAAATCATAAATTACTACATCAATACCATAGAATTCCACTATAATTTATCAAGCTTAGTGAAATTTCAAGTAGACTAAAGACACAACCTACCTCATTGAAATCTTGGTTGAAAAGAAAGAAATGGCACTAGCCACGTTAGAAAGACTGAGAAAACCACTATGGGGACATTCTGAGCTTTCAATTGGTTATTGATGTGAGATATAGAAGTAAGTGTATCTAAGGGAGCATTTTGAAAAATGAAAAGAGGTGGGCGGGGTGCCACTGTGATTGATTTATTACATGAGAAATATCATAGCAAATAGAAATAATTGGTCTGCTGTACAATATTGAAAAATGAATTAGGTGCAATGTCATAACATTGTTCATATACCTTAAAGTAATTTAGGTTACTGTCTGGTTAATTAAAAAGGACTGAAAACCCCATAAATATTACCTACATATCCCCATTATAAGAGGCCTAACTGTATTTCTTTCTTTTGCTGACCCAAGCTGTGCTGATGAGCCTTGAATAGGCAAAACTTCCAATCAAGGAATTCATTAGGCCTTTACATCACAGATTCCCTTTTCAATTTTACCTTTGGTGAAAAAGAAAATAAATCTGTAACATTTATATTATGAGCATTAGTTAAATGTTGCCATGATAAATTTTGTACCTTAGCTTCTTCCTGACACTCTAACAATATTTCTATACTTAATTAAAAACTTTTTGAAATATGTTTGAAAACAGGCACCCTGTTTACCAATGCTATAGTTTTTCTAAATCTGATTATATATAATTATAAATATTTAATTTTAATTTAAAAATTAGAAATGTTTGTATTTATTTTCACATGGATCACATTACTAGAAATAAAGATATAAGCTTTGAAATTGTTGGAATACAACCTAACTGAGAATATATTAACATTATTTTAACTTTGTCTGACCTATATAGGTTACTTTAGGGCTACATGGTCGATATTTATCAATCCAAAATACTATATTGTTATAGTAGGTGTCTCTTCTTTCATGGAAAAAAAATGTTTAAAATTGGGTAACAGTGTTACACAGCTAACTTTTAAAAAGTTGTCAAAATGAAATATTACTGCAGCTAGTGTGGAGAAGTTATGCATTGTTATTACTTGTTAATGGAATAATACTATATTATCTGAATAGACTTTCTATTTTTATTCTTAGTCATTCCTTAAAACTTTGTAAGATAAAGTAATAACTATGAAAAGTTTACTTTAAAAAGTATATTGATGTTATCATGATTTTTATGTTGTTTGACTTTAATTTTAGGCTACTTGAAGAATATCCAAAAATACTAAGTTTTTTGTTTGGCTAAGTATACATTTGTCTAATAAGTGAAATGAGTTATGATTATTCATTTCCCTTTATTGGTTACAAAATATTTTAGTAGTTATACATACAACACTTAAGGCCCCCAGCACTGCTGTAGACATGCTTATAAATATAAATTGTCTGGTTGGTTGGTTGTTTTAGAGCAAAGCCACATTTGACAATCTGCTGTGTGTCCACCATGGCGAATTGAACCCCAGATATTAACGTTGTAAGTCTGAAGTTACTGTTGTTCCACTGGGGGACATATGTCTGAAAAGTGTACATAATATTGTTACGTCAGTGGAAGTCACGTGATGCTGGGAGCAAGCTTGTTGGAGTTTCTCAAAGAATCATGATCTAGTACAAAGGAAGCCACAGGAATTCAATGGGAAGGCACCATGGGAAGCGTGGAGCACAATTTGAGCTCCTGGCAGAAATGAATGGATGGACAGAGGAGCAGTGTACCTGGCAACAAGCTTGAAGGGACAACCACTGGAAATACTTGAACAGTTGTCAGCAGACGACAGGCACAACTATAAAGCACTGGTAGCTGCTCTAGAACTCGGGTATGATAAGGATAGGTTTAGGACTAGAGTCCATGCTAAAGGGGAGAGCCTGCAAGAGCTGGCACAGGATTTGGAAAGTATGGCACACAAAGCCTACCCAACTGCACCACCTGATGTCCTCAAGCTGTTGCTGAGGGATCAGTTTGTAGATGCCTTAGACAGTCCACAACTGAAGATACAAATAAAGCAAGCAAGCACACCCCTCTATTATGCAGGATGCAATGGCCAGAGCTCTTGAATTCAAATCCTATGTTAAGTCCAGCACAGAAGTACCAAGGTTGGTACAGTCATCAGGATTCAAGGCCAGAAAAAGGCAGCTTTTAGAGAAACTGGCACTGTAACAAACCTGGGCACAAGAGAGCTCAATGCCAACAACTTAAACACAGGGAAGATGCCACGGCTGTTGAAACTGTGGAGAGCAAGGACATATGAGGAGCCAGTGTAAGAAGAATACTACCAGTAAGTCAGCTTGTGTGAAACCAGAAGTGGTTGGTGTTGAGGGACGCCCACCAAACCCCATTTTGAAAGTCCCAACAGCTAAGTTTAAAATGGCAAACACACATAGTGTCAATGTGACAGGAAAACTGGATGGCCAAGAGTGCAACTTTGTCATAGATTCTGCATCTCAGCAAACCCTTGTGAGTAACAACCTCAAGTTGCTAGATCACAAAGGAGTACCAGAAGCCATACAGAAGCTCTGTGGTGTGACAGAACATTATGCAAGGCTGTGGGGACCAGTGTGGGTAACTATTGAGCTCATGGGCATAAAGGACAG